CATCGAGTGCCTCCGAAGGACTGTTCCAATCTCCAGCATACTTGGATTCCACGAGGCCGCGTCCTGGTGTTGGGGGTAATTTCGAGGCTGAATGCGGTAGACTTTGCGTCCTTCAAATCCCCACAGTGCTTGGCGTACGGACCATTTCCCAATCTGTTGGCGGAAAATGTAGGGTGGAGCTCTCATTGACGCACACCTGCCACCGTTGCTAGGCCTGTTCCACTCTTCGTTTTTCGAATGCCAGGGAAAGGTTCTTGCCTGTCTTCTGAGTGAGTGATCGGAAACATGTGCTACCAGAGCATCCTCGCGATTGAGAAACGGCAACTGTGTGTGTTGTAATCCAAGTTCTCTCTGTTTTTATTTTGGTAGCCAAACTGGCTATTTATTGCCACCCTCTGCACTGGTGCTCTACAGATGTGGTTTAATGCTTATATATCCGGATCCTTTTTTTTTTTTGGGTTTTTGGAGTTTAGCTATTTGAATCTGAGCTCTCGTGCAGGAGTTGCGGTATTAGCAGACGTTGCCGATAATCTGCTCTGTTCATCAGAGGTCAAGGCCTGTACAGGCATCCCTGCTGATTCGATGAAAGAATAAAAGAATGACGGTATATTGATCCTGCTTTGTTTTGTGCTGGACCAACATATCAGTCCTTACCAGTAGTCGTGGACCCAAGGTATGGATCATGCAGATTTAAACCGACTGTCATGGTTTTTGTTTCTTGTCTTAAGAAGGAGAGTGGAGCGAGCAAGATCATGTCGCTGCAGCGTGGGGCAGCCTGACCTCCTTCACCCCAGACGGGCCTGGCAGCCGGTCAGGCGTACACCGGTCAGCTAATGAGCGGAAGAGATGGGGGAGAGAGGGGGGCTGAAGGCGGCGCAGTTCGTGGACCCGTGAGCTTTCTATCTTATTCGTCCTTTTTATATCAAAACCCATTACTTTCTCACCACAGGGGATGGCAAAGCTGTGGATACTCCAAATCACAGGGTAGAATGGATCCTGTTTGCCATATCAATAAGCAATCGTTGTTTGTCACTTTTTTGATAAAATCATTCTCGTCCATTTGAATAGTGTTTGAATGTCGCGTCTTTTCTTATTGGCTGATCTGACACTAATGTGAGCATAAAGTAGTGTGTGACTTAAAGAGCAGTTTCAGTACTGTTTTCATATTCTCAGGAAAAGATTGAAGGCTGTCAGCTCACTACAAAATCCATTGGTTCATTATGTGAAAAAACCATTCATCAATATGGCCGATGCTGATCATGATGTATTGCATTGACAGGGGATGCTTTTATAATGTAAACCAGACGTTGGTAACGTTTCTTTGGTAAGAAAACAAAAGAGATTCTTACAAAAGGATTGGTCTCTAAGTGGCTCAATTGCCAACTGGCAGAGAGAGTTTAAACATTTCCCTTCTCACTGTCCTCCTGGGGAAAAAAAAAAACAGTGTCATCTGTGGCAGCTCTGGTGTTGTGTTAGTTAAAGGGAACCTATCATGCAAAATGCCTTTTGAACGTCTTTTTTACATGAATATATGTCTTCCGGTGTTCAGGGACTCACCAACGTGTCAAACACAACCCCTCTCATTTTCTCTACCAAATCTCTTAAAAGGTCTGCACGGATTGTCGACTGATCCAGATTTGACAGTTCTATGACGTCACAGAGTGGCGCTCGGCTATCTAGGACAACCTCCACCAATCAGGAGGGCAGCCACGGCATTTGCCGTCGAAGCGCTGGAGACGCTGGTAGTACATATGCGCAGGCCTGTAGATGGTGCTGTCTCACATATAGGCCCATGCACGGACACGTGTCAATTGAGCGAATGAGGAATGGCTACATGATGATCTGTTTGTTATTTTGAAAGATAAAAGTATAAATATGCGTTTTTTTTTTTTTTTTTTTCGGGCTGTCTCAGAAATTAGGCTATTGTGATAGAAGTACTTTTTTTCTGTAAATGCAATTTAAAAGAAAAAAAAAAAAAACATTCACCATTCTGGATTCTCTTACAAATCAACTGAGATATTGCAGCGGTTTGTTCTTTTAATATTGGCCGATTTAGATTGGCATACAGCTGTAAAGAAACGACTCAGAATATGCCTATCGGTCTTAAATATTAGGAACTATCATGAACAGTATACTGTAGGGTGTTCAACGGATCACTTGAATCGTCTATTAACTCGAAACACCTGCAGGGTTCCTGGGCCTTGAAAACACTCAGCGTTGTTCGTAACCTCAATGACAAGTATGGGGAGACTGCTGATCTGACTGCTGTCAGGAGGCCGTCTTGACACCTCCATCAGGAGGTAAGACAAAAGAAATTTCTCAAAGAGCAAGCTGTTCACGAGTGCAGTTTCAAAGCACATCCACAAAAAGTCTGTTGGAGTGGGGAAATGTGGCAGGAACGCGGCACAACAAGAGGATGGACCGCAGTCTTAACAGCATTGTGAAGAAGAGTCGCTTCCAGAATTTGGGGCTCAAAGACAGTGGCTGAGCTGGAGTCCGGTCTCAATTCACTGTTCCCAGACGTGTCCGGGAAATGGGCTACAATAGCCGTATTCCCATGGTCAGCCACTTCTGAACTCAAGACAACGGAAGGGCGTCCTGACTTGGGCTAAGGAAAGAGCCTGGACAGTTGCACAGTGGTCCAAGTCTCTTTTCAGGCGGATAGCGTTTGTATTTCATTTGGAAGGTCAAGGGCCAGAGTCTGGAGAAAGGCTGGAGAGGAGGCAATCCAAGTTGCTTGAAATCCATGTGAGTTCCCACAGGTCGCGATGGTTTGGGGAGCATGTCAGCTGCTGTGTGGTGTCCATGTGTCATAAGCCCAGGAATGCAGCTGATGTACCAAAGAGATTTAGAGCATCATGCTTCCGTCTGCTGAAAGCTCTATGGAGATGAGGAATTCATTTTCCGATGTCTGTCACTGCCACATGCAAAACCACGTACTGGTGTACTGACCATGGCATTCTGTCCTCGATGGCTGCAAATTCCCCTGACCCTTACCCATAGAGGAATATGTGGGGGGGTATTGTTGAAGAGAAGCTGAAAGGACACCAGACCAACAATGATTATGGCTAGGCGCTATTGAGCATCTGGGCATCCATTATCCAGCAATGCACAGGCTGATTGCCTCCATGGCACGCGCATTGATGCAGTAATCGGTGCAAAGGTTCCACAGTACTGAGTGCATAATGGCATTTTCAAATGTTTGATTGTGTTTTGCTGTTATAAATCTTTTTTTTTTACTTGGTCTGAGGAACTATTCTAATTTTTTGAGATAGGATTTTTGAGTTTTCTTAAGCTGTATGCCATAATCAGCAATATTAAAATAATAAAAGGCTTGCAATATTTCAGTTGATTTGTAATGAATCCAGAATGTATGACATTTTTGTTTTTTTAATTGCATTACAGAAAATAAAGAACTTTATCACAATATTCTAATTTTCTGAGACAGTCCTGTAGGTATGGTCCTACAATATATTATTCAAATATAGCATGATAGGTCCACTTTAAGAAAGTTAAGAGCAGGAAATGTTCTGATCCAAGTCTGCTGGGTAAATTAAATAGTGCACAGGTGGATGTGTGTGTGCCTGCTTTTCTATATGGATTCACTTAAAGGCAATATGATGAAATGAGGCTCAAGATGTGTCTTTCTATTCTTATTTGTCTTCATCTTCAGTCATCTCCGGTCCTACTAATCTCAGCGTCGTCAAAACAACCTCCACTACTGCAGTGGTCCAATGGGAGCATTCGCAGGGTGAGATTGACAGGTACCGTTTGACCGTCGCGCCCAGCGACGGAGAAGGAAGGAGTCAAGAGTTGACCATCCCACCTGGTCAAGACTCCGCCCACATTGAGCAGCTGGAGGCGGGGCGTTTGTATGACATCATACTCGAAGCTGAGAAGGGCACGAGTCGGAGCAAACCAGCAACCACTCAGGTTACCCCGGGTGAGTACCAAAAAGAAATTTGATCTGAACGCTTTGGTTTGATTTAAGACAGCTTTGACTATAAGATTAGGTCCTCTTTCCTGAAAGAAGTTTATTTATTTCAAGGATAAAATATTTCAGATCGCTGAAACCTTATAACACTGTTGGATATAGCCAAAAAGTAATGCACACTTTTCTCTTATTGTTTTAAGAAAAGCACTTCTAGCACTTTTAGAAAATTATTGCACCGTTTTGGAAATCTATATTTGTGATGTGTTTTTAAAGATTAGCGTGAGGAACTAAAGGGCTAAAGCCACATACAGGAAGTTTAAAGTATTGAAACACAGACTAAACATTTTTTGTTTTTGTTGGCTTTCTAATGTGATGAAAAATAAGAATAATGTCAAAAAACACCAGACATATTTAAAGTGTTAAACTTGGTCGTGATGTCTTTTTAAGATCCCCAAAACCAGCTACTTTCCTGTGTACTTCGACCTTGCTTGAACTCATTGTGAGCAAGTCAACTGTTTCTCTTCCAGATGTAAACAGGTGAAAACAGACTTGGTTCTGCTTATTTAAACTTTATGTGTCCAGACACCTCGTTATTCAACATAACACATCATTGAAAACACACTGTCGAGGAGCGACAGTAAAAGTTAATGAAGCAAGGTGCAGCCTCAACTCTCCACCCGCTAAGATAATGAGTTTCAGAAGAACACTATCTGTAAAATGCTCCTTTTTTTCTGATTTCTTCCAGGATATTTCCCTCTCTACAGTGGCACAGGCACCATGTTGAATACATCTGTCCAAACTTAACATTATTCATATTTCAATGTTTTCCTTGCAGGTTCTACATGGATCGCACTGCCCTGAAATGTTTGCATAATAACTGACAAATTACTTGCAATAGGGTTTCCATAAAATCAGCGTAATGCATATTAAAACAACTTTTCTTCCTTTATTAGACTTCTGGAATGTTAAGAACAGCAGCATATGATGTCCCTAACACTGAATCCAGATGCTAACTCCCTTTACATCTTTAGGGAAGACATTACCAAGGGTTTCCATGGCAGCTTTGACCATGCGAGTTACACAAGCACCTGGACAAGATGTTGGAGACAGTCACCGTGAGGTCAACCCTTTGCCTGAGGTTAAAGCCTTTGACCAACAGAAGAGCAGAGAGGATGGAAGTGAGGCTGACTCTTTAATAGACAGAGCTTTTGATGGGCCTAACAGCGACTATACAACCTCTGTGACTGCAAGAACTAAACCTCTGCTCAACAGGAAGAAGGCAATAAATGGCACCAGACCATTATTGTACAGAAGGCCAAATGTCTCAGGCCCTTTCCGTTTCAACACAACCAGAGTTGCGCCTGGATGGAGAAAGGATCCTTTGAATAAAAACCTTGTTGGTCGGAAGATGAAAGCACTAATAGTACCCACAAAACCTAAACCAGATGTCCCCACTATAGGAGAAAGGACAGAGGCAGAGCTGAGTGTAGAGGCATCAAGCACTGAGAGGAAGGATGACAAGTATCCAGCTATGATGTCTGGGAGTACTTCACATACAAACAGACAAAATAGCTCCGAGGAACCAACTGCTGCCGTCGGCTCCAAAGAGCAACCAGATGTTGGCATGGTTGGCAAAGGAACTGACACTGCGTTCGTGTCTCCAGAGCCAACTGGGATTGTTCAAAGCCAAGAGAAGAAATGTCTCAACAAAGTTAAGGTGACACACATTAGATTACCCCATCGGGGCAAAGGCAGCCGGTTTAGAGAGGATGGAACAATACTGGAAGGAAAGACAGCGGTTTCAGATCAAAGTTCCTTTGAAACAGACAGAAAGTCTGCAGAGACAAACATTGCTTATTCACAAGATCCTTTAAATAAACTTCTGACTGACACTTTTGATAGTTTGAATATCACAACGTTTTCTGTTCACCTGTCCAAATCACCAGACCTCTCTGCTAATGCAGAAACAGTGAGGAAGCAGATTATAAGTGGACTGAAGCCATTGTTGTCATCATCACTTTCATCAAACTCCAAATCAACGTCAAATGCATCACCATTTTTACATTCTTTGACCTCTAAATCATTATCACAATCTTCATCATCATCATCATCATTAGATCAGTCTTCAGCTGCACGGTCATCATTGCCATCATCACCATTATCAACATCATCCCGATCCTCTTTAGCTCCATCTTCCTCAACAGCAGCACCATCATCATCACTAACAATGTTAATCTCATCTTCACCCTCTTCCTTACCTTTACCATCTTCATCAGAACCATCATTATCGCTTCCTCCTTCATCGTCCTCCCTTTCCAGCTTAGATACAGGTTCAGTTGGAAGCAAAGAACGAGATGTTGATGACAGAAGAATTGTTGCTGACGTCACATCCCCTGAAGACAGAAAACCATCACCTTCAGGAAAAGGTGCCGTTCCACTTTTCCAGCTCATCCCTGGAAAAAATGGATATGTACGTCGCCGACACCCAAAGTTTGGATTGCGACAGAACAAAACCCACCCAATCATGAGAATTCCTCCCCGTTCCCTTCCTCATTTGAACCTCATACCTAGGAGAGAGACAGAAACCAGACATGAATCAACAAGTGAAATATCATCGTCACCTTCTTCATCTCCTTCAGCGGAACCGTCCTCATTTGAGGAAACTGCACCAGTGAGGGATACCAGTGGAGACAAAAATGGATCAAATACACATGGAGACGGACAAAACCAGAAAAAGGTGCCAACAGAAAGAGAACAAATCCCACTTCGCCGTATTCCTCCAAAGGGGGGATACATGCGACGTCCAAACTTTGGATCTCTACAGAACCGGACTCGTCCATATTCGAAGCGGCTGCCTCCCCCCTCTCGATCTTTAAAGCCTGCACCAGAAACCAGGAGAGAGCAGGTGTCCTCCACTAAATTCCCAGCCACACCATCTCCTCTTGTTTCCAAAGAACCATATCCAGCTGAAGGTACAGGGCCAGTTGAAGAGGACATTGAACAAAAAGGTCTGACAAGTATTTCCCATGAGTTCAATCAGACCCTCAGAAGAAGTGGACTGCCTTCCTCCCATCGCCAACCCACCAAAATTGGTCACTTACGTCAGCCACAACTGAATGCTGGACGTTTCCAAAACATAACCCGCACAAACCTGAGACCACTCCAAAATCCACATAGAGGTTCCACGTCTAAGCCTTTCCCAACCAGGAAGATAAATGGACGTGTAACTTTTGGAGGTCAAATTAGACCATTAGGAGAAAAAGATACTGAAGGGGCAAATAAAGGTACACACATTGATGGCCATGACACAACCGTCAGCACACAGATCAAGAAACTAAAAGGGGGTGAAAATGCTCCAATCCAAACAACCATATTCAGGGAAGAAGAAACAAGCCCCCCAGATTCAAATTCTGACACTGGTGCAAATAAAGAGAGAGTCAATACTGGCATAAATATTAGCGATACAAGTGGAGGAAAACCAGCAATCACACAAACTTCCACTGATTCACGACTTGGAGCCCCAGAACCAGGCGCACTGCCAAAGGGACAGCCACCAACAAGGAGAATGATAGCACAGCATCACACCCCGATAAGACACTACCACAGTGGAAGCATAAGGAAAGAGGACAAAATAAATAATTCTGGGAAAATGTTGTTCAACAGTCAACCTGACCAGACACGAAGTGTTGATCTTAGACAATCGATGGGATCAGATGGTTCTTCTTCTGGAGTTTTGAGGGAACCTCTGGACTATGTGGGAGTGACAAACCGGACTTCAAGTGGATTTTCGCTCACATGGGACTCCCCGGGAGAGAAGTACAAAAACTTTGTTGTGACAAGTAAAGATGTTGGTAAGGATGAAGCGCCAAAGCCGAAGAGCACTAACATGGATTCAGAAGACAACTCGGAGAAAGAGTTTGACAATAAAGAGGAAGAAGCAAAGTATGAACAAACTAATACATCAGAATCAGAAAATGGAAGAAGTAAAGATGAAAATAGAGTACCTGAAAGTGTTTCTGCACCAGATCCACAGAACAGAAGCGGCACAGGATCCAAGCCTGTTACAGGAAGTATCACGTCCTTCAAAAAAGTTCTTCCTGGTTCATCTCGCTTCTTCCAGTTTGAGGATCTGCCTCCTCAGACCGAGTACACGGTGACCTTGCTTGGAAAGGGTCCCGGCCTTCTGTCCAGACTGCACAAGGTTGTCATCAGCACAGGTACAAGCTATTGTGACAGTAGAGCAACTTTGTTTATTACTGCACAATAATACAACATTACCGTCAATGTTGAAGTCCTCTGCAGAAAACTATTTTCTTCACCTTAAAACTCAAGACTCTTCGCTCACCCATCCTAAATCTTTACTGCGCCAAACATCTTGGGCTGATTCAAACAAAAATGTATTTGTCAACTCATTGTCCCTTGTGTTAAGTATGACTGGAAATGTTGTGCTTCCTCCATGTTGATTTCAAGAGCTCATTTCCTGTGGTGCTCTTGAAAACTGTAAGCTTGGGTTGTACGGTTTCATGGCACGTATTTGTTCCTTAAAGGAATTTTCCCCCCTTTGTATGGTTATTTGCATATCAACTATGTATCCTGTGTTCGTGCCTCCACTGTTAACAATAATCCAAAACTCTTAACAAATGTAAGTAAAAACGAATGCAAGAAGAGGTATCACGATGAGTAATTGATATCCAAATGATCGTTTTGGGGGTGAAACATTGCTTTATATTCACTGGTTTGGTCTTGATGTTACCTGTTTTTGTTTGTGTTCAGTGTTAATGTCGTGTTTGTGCACACATTCATCCGCTTCATGAATATATGACATATTCATGAGTTCGCAGTCATACATTATAATAATCAACACTCCATAAACAAACACTCAATCTTTTGATGTCAAACCTCAGATATGCATTGACACAGTGTGTCACAATGTCAGCTTACAAAACATTTGTTCATTTTAGCTCACTTGGGAATGATCAGGTTCTATAACTGGATCTCTACTAACATTTTTGCTGAAAATAAATTAATCCTACATTTAGTTTCCATCCAGACATTGATCAGATTGTATGCAAATATCAAGCAATTTACTAGTTGTACTTCTACATTGCAAGAAATGAAAGCAAGAAGCAAACTTTACCCGGTTTTTAACTTGTCTAAACTTCAAAAACCTTAATATACTCAGTTCTGGAATGTAATACAAAAACTGTACTACAAGTTTTAGGTACTTTACTTTAGGATTTGCTTCCGGTTCCACTACTCCACTACAGTTCAGAGCAAAATAATGTTATTTTTACTCAAAGTGGACCTATCATGCAAAATGCACTTTTGTACGTTTTTTATACATGAATATGTGTCCCCGGTGTGTCAGGGAACTCACCAAGTGTCAGAAAACACAACCCCCTCTCTTTTCCTCCATACCCAAATCTCTAAAAACGGGGCTGCAACGGATCTGATACAGATTTGAATTGTTCTGATGTCAGAAACGGGGAGCTCCGCCTATACGGGC